AAGGTAAAAATTGTTTTTGCTTTGTTGCTTAAATTTCCTTTTCTTTTAAAATGTGATTATTGGGATGAAAAAGTATGAAGAGCTTCTTCTCTTTTAATATATCACTATTATTAATGCCTTGATTTTATATCTGACATATCCCCATGATTCTTAACATTTGATAATAAATTGAGATTTGGAGTTAAAGTGATGTCCATCTGGATAAAGTGAGATAAAATGGAGCACATGTAATTTCAGAGTTTGCATCAGAGTTAAATACAATTCTTCTATGACTCTAAAATGAACACAGTCTTATAAGTAAGAAACTTTCTCATGACCAGAATTAATCTCTCATTGCTTTCTTTTGATATTGTATATGTGTGAGAATGTGTGTTAAAAATTCTACTAAAAGTAACATTTGGCCAAGATGGGTAGAGGCTATAAGCAGGATTAGAATTAGAGTAACATGTCTGAATTTATTTTATTGCATTAATAGAAGTAAAGTGAAAAAACTAAAAATTATGCATATATGTATTTGTGGGATTTGATTGGACATGGAAATGTATAAACATCTTTGCAATACATTTTATGTATATTACATATACACAAAATTATATATATATATATATATATATATATATATATATATATATATATATATATAGCCTCCTTCATATTCTTTTTTATTATAGTGCTCCTCTTTCCCTATCTCTTGAGTGATCCCTTGAGGACTTGATGTTGCTATTTGATGTCTCTCCCCTACCACTCCCTTGATTTTATTTTTACTGATTTCAGCTAAATATCACTTTTATATGATAAGTGTAATTACTATAAGGTATTGCTTTTGACAATTATTTCACATATTTTATTTACATGATTAATTTTCTCAATAAAACAATAACAGGATACAAAATTATTAGGGAAGAATTTCAAGGCCTGAAATATATTTTTTTGACATCCATGTAGAAAGTGTCTATTTATCCTAAACAAAAGATATGGTTATGGTCTTTAGATGTATTCATTGAATTGGTGAATATATTTTAAACTTTGGCATTCATAAATATTTGGAGTGTTTAAAAGATGCCCTTTAGCCTTCTGAAAGGTAAAATCTCTATGTAGGTTTTATGCATATTGAGGCAGCTCTTTCAATGTTTTGAGGTGCCCTCATAATGATAATCCCCACTCCCTCCTTTCAGATTTAAACATGTTTTTATTCAACATTCCCTTCCCTAGTAACCACATACCAAAAAAAAAAAAAAAAAAAAATGAGGGTTGTGTTGAATGTGATGCATCAATCTGCATCCTCAATAAGCTGATGGAATAAATGCATTAACTAATCCCTAAAGGAAACGTGCTTCTGGTATTATGTATCCCCATTATTAAACAGTTAGATATAAATAATAATATTATGACTTTATTAACCAAGTGTTTACCATTTTACAGTAGAAAGAATCTTTATAGTCTCCACAACCCAAAAGTCATTCATAGAAAGAAAATCATCAAAAAAGAATGCCCAACTCAAAGTTTATGATTGAAGGCTGGAAATAATATGTATATATAATTTGCTTATATTAAGCATTTATTTTACTGAATTTTTCCATTTAGTTTGAATGATTCTTCATAAGCTATTAATGAATTTAATGTATTTTTTCCTTTGGCATTTTCTTTCTTTCTCTATACTTTTTTTCCTTCTGTGGAAGATTTTATCTCAGCTTCTAATAGTTCTCTCTCAAGGAAAGACTTTGTTTTCAGAGTAAGCTGCAGGTGCCTCTCTGTAGAGGATCTTTAACAACATCTTCTGCAACTTTTGAAAGACAATGCACTGAAATTTATTCTCTAAGTCACTGAAATTTGTCTGAGTGAGGATTTCATAGAGTTATTTTATGAAGTTTGATGTTGTCACTAGTGACCAACACTTTATACTCTCTTTTTAATTCTTGTAATGTTTTCCTTCTTGTCTGAACAGGTAATGGGCATGACCAATAGTAGTGCCAAAGAAGACTTCGTTCTGGTGGGCTTCTCAGACCAGCCCCAGCTGGAAAAGATACTCTTCGTGGCTGTTTTGATATCTTATCTTCTTACTTTGGTGGGAAATACACTAATTATTCTGGTCTCTTCCATAGACCCTAAACTCAAAATACCCATGTACTTTTTCCTTACTCACCTCTCCCTAGTGCACATCTGTTTTACCACCAGTATTGTCCCTCAGCTGCTGTGGAACCTCAAAGGACCAGCCAAGACCATCACATCCCTGGGTTGTGCCATCCAGCTCTACGTCTCCCTGGCATTGGGATCCACTGAATGTGTTCTCCTGGCTGTGATGGCTTTTGACCACTATGCTGCAGTATGCAAACCTCTCCACTATACAGCTGTAATGAACCCAAGCTTGTGCCAGGTTCTGGCAGGGGTTGCATGGCTGAGTGGAGCAGGAAATGCTCTCATCCAGGGCACTGTCACCCTCTGGCTACCTCGCTGTGGACACCGGGGGCTCCATCATTTCCTCTGTGAGGTCCCCTCCATGATTAAGCTTGTATGTGTGGACATCCATGACAATGAGATCCAGCTCTTCGTTGCTTCATTGGTCTTTCTCCTTTTGCCCTTGGCACTGATATTGATGTCCTATGGACACATAGCCAAGGCAGTTATAAGCATCAAGTCAGTGCAGGCCTGGCAGAAAGCCCTGGGGACATGTGGATCCACCTTGACAATAGTATCCCTCTTCTATGGGAGCATCACAGCCAACTATATCCAGCCCAACAGCTCCTATGCCCACACTTTTGGGAAACTCATCTCCCTCTTCTACACAGTAATCATCCCGACCTTCAATCCTCTCATTTACACCTTGAGGAATAAAGAAGTTAAAGGTGCACTGGGAAGAATATGCCACAGAGACCTACGTGTGTAAAAAATGAAGCAAAGTACAGACTGGTCAATTTTTCATCACAAGACTCTTAAATATCATCTCATATAGTCCTTCACAAGCCTAAAAGCACAGCTGGAACCTCCACAGTTTGTATGATTGTACTTCACATGGCCTCACAACTATCTGTCCTCTGCAATCTTTTCACAGGCTTCTTTTGGGCCATTTGAAAGGCATTATTTCCCCACACTCTTTGATGTCCATTTTCCTAATAATTTCCACTTCTAACCCTCTCTTCGTTCATTTCTTCTTTTGTCATCCCCTTCCTTCCTTCTTATTTCACCTTTTATTCCTTCTTTATATTACATTTGGTTATCAGGTTTTCTTTTTTTAGTACTGGAACCCAGGACCTTGTTCATGCCAGGTAAAAACTCTTACCATTGAGCTACATCCTCAGCCCTTTGTATTTTATTTTGAGACAGGGTCTGTCTAAGTTGCCCAGGTGGGCCTTGAACTTGTGACCCTTCTGCATCCACCTCTCAAGAAACTTCGAGCATAGGTGTGCAGCTCTGGGCCCAGTTTTTCTTACCATTTGTATGAAGTGCTTTGTAACTGTTTTCCCTCATGCCTCTATGTTATAGCTCTTCCCATTAATATTCTAATAATTCCTGAAAGCAATTTCCTAAAAAAAATTTAAAAAACTTTTCTCTTTTGTCACAGCAAAAGCTATCATACACCTTGTGAAAATATTTGAGAATTTGATTTTTGAATTCCACAACTTCCTTTTTGAGCTCATGTAGTTTTGTTGAACTTTTTTGTATCAATGTTTATGTATGATTTAAAAAATAATCAGCTTTGTATATAAGACCTTACTTGTAAGGTAACAAACAAGAAAAGTGATATCCGAAGCAGGTAAATTGGATATAAATTTCTGCTCTTAAAGAGTTGATCTTAGAGTATGGCTAAACATCTATATATGCAATATTAAAATAATTTAATTTGGCTATTATGTCTTTATTTGATTGCAGTTTTGTTCCTATTTATAATTTCTTCCCTTCATTTGTCTGTTTTTATCCATACCAAAAAAGAATGCAAAGTTCATCTTTTATCATTTGACATCATCTGCCTACTCCCCTTTGCACAGCTCCTCTGTCCCTCTTGATGATTGTGGTATCTGATCTTAACTAAATAGGCTGAAGTCACATGATTTGCTCTAAAAATCACTATTGATACCACTGAAAAAACAAGCCAGTAACAAGACAGTATCAAGAGGTTGGCTTACTCCCCTTGATTCTAACTACATTTTGATAATAAGCCTTTATTGATCTTAAAAATCTGGCAGATGTGCTGCAGTCCGGCTGCAGCAAAATAACCGGGGGGTGACGAATAACTTGTAAACGTTGATACAGCAGGAGTGGGAGCCGTTTATTGCAGGGCCGCAGTCCGGCCTTCTACACAGATGAATCATATATTGGCTTATTTTTATATACATGTTTACATAATATTTCAAATTGAAAGCACCATCTCATTAGATTCAAACTTTCATGCTGTTGTCTAAAACATTAAAAATTTGTAAGTGTAAGAATGAGATGCACATAGATATTTAAAATGCATATGTAAGGAAACCCATTGGTTTTGTGCTTTTCTTGTATATCAGTAATTAAACTACTCACATGTACAGAATGAAAATTCTCATTTGGGGTTTTGTTTCAAGAAAATGTATTGTCATTTCTTTGAGAAAAAGTTTTATTGTCTCCCATTAATTGGTTGCAAACTAATCTCCATTTATAGATTTTAACTTCAAATTATACCTTATAATTAAACTCTTTAAAAAAGCAATGAGCTTCACTATTAATTAAAAGATTTTAAGTGCAACATAAATGCAGTAAGTGATAATAAATGATCAATCAATATCAATTAGCATGTTTTCAAAAGTCTACTTTCCTGGTCATAATATTCCCTCTATGGGAAGTCTAATTTAGGCTTCTTTTTTTAAAAATTTGATCCCATAAAAATTGTTATCTAGTCTAGAATTATTTGCATAATTTGTGTTTACATCTGCATGGGGAAAAATACCTTAAAAATCTGATAGAAAATAAGTCAATTCTTACTTTTTCTTTGTAATATGAAAAAATATGATTCATTTCCTTCACTGACTTATGAAATGCATAGTATATTTGTTTTTAATGGTGATAGTAAAGTTAAAAGTGTTATTTTTGAAAGGATAGTTACTGTAAATGTAGTAGGAAAAAACTGTGTTTGAACCAGGAGAGACCAGAGTCTCAGTTATCGTGTTTCTAACATTAGGAAAACCTCAAAGTTTGTGGCATTTCAGAGGTTACAAGACATGTAGTAAGAACTAAGTATATGTAATTTATGCATTAATAAACCATTGATGTCAGATCAAGTATCCTTGATGGCAAATATACATATGTTTTTCAGGCCTAATTTATTCGAGCAGTAACTAGTTGCTATTAATTCTCTACCAAGTTCACTCACAATAATCAAATGAATTCTGCTTTTGACATGTAAAATATATTTGTTTATTGTTTATATAAATGTGTCTCTTTTTTATAGACAGGCCAAAAATAGTGTATTGCAATATAATGATTTTGACTCAGTTGTGAGCTAATATTTGTTACACAATTCTAACATGTTTTTTTGCTTTGATTTCTGTGATTCTCCATTTCCAAAATATGAGGGGAAATTTATTTCTTACATTAAATTAAAACTTAAAGATATTCCTACCAAACATTGTGTAGCACACTTCATGTAGCACACTACATTATACATCTAGTTGACTTCCCAATCTATAAGTTGGGTTTACCTACTATACCTATACCAGGTAGGCCCTGACTGGCAATGTTCTCCTGAAAAGCTATACTATCAAGGTTCAAGTCTCATCTAAATGATTATCCATATTTTAATTTTTATTATATTTAGTTTTTAAACCTATGAGTGTCTCTTTCTATTATCCTCAGTTATCCATTGTGTTTCACAAAATTCCTCACATGAAATGAATGAAAAATAAGTTTACATGAAAGACAGTGAACTAGTGATTACTGACCTTTAAGAATTATCTAAAAATCATGTGAGCAAAGAACTGAAGGGTCAAATCATATATCAATACATCAACAATATGTTCATTTGTCATTCAATCAGTAAGAACTTATGAACCATGGTATGTTTATTATTGTGGCACTGCCAACAAGTAATATATAATATTCCTATAAAGGATATTTCATGATTTAAGAAAAAGTTAAAACCAATATAAGGTTATACAAAATGCACAGTGAAACAAGAAGGCAAGTACATTGCTTCAGAAGTTCATACTAACTATGGATCAACAAACTACTGAGTATTATTTTAGGCATAGAGATAAAACTATAAATGTATTTGAGGAAAGAAAAATGCATCTCCAATGAGAATGTGAATGTGATAAGGATCAGAAGTCACATTTCTGAAGGATGAAAATCAGTTCATTGGCTTCTAATGATATACATCAGGAATAAAAATTATATGGCATCTTACATTTTTATAACTGTGACCATATAAATCTTTGTTGAAATGTACTCATTTAATCCTCAAAATCAGCAACCTAAATAGCTAAATCATAATAAGTAGTTCTGATTAAACAGGGTAAATTAAACAGAAGTGATTATTCCTATTCCTTTATAAAAGGAATTAAAATTCCACTACATTAAAAAAAGGCTACAAATGTATTAAGGACTAATTGGACTGAAGAGAAGCTAACAGGAGATTCAGGACAAATAAGCTTTTGTCATATGCAAAATTAATGAAAGGTAGTAAATGGCTAAGAAGGAAAAAAAAAGATGAAACAAAACTGCTTTTAGAGGATTCTGACATGGAAAGGGAGAAGCCAGTAAGAATAAAGGAAATTTCTACTATAGTGAAAAACCAGCCTCTATCTCAGAGCAAAGCTGTCCAAGGAAGGGACATGGCCTTTGTCCTTGGAAAAACCCACAGAGCACTCGTAGGCACATTCCCACCCTGCTAAGTTGTTTATCTACAGGAGAGATCTGCTGTGCCAGGTGTCCCTGACTCACTCAGGCTAGGTGGGGATCCATAGCAGCCCCCTAGCAGCCACCAATCAGCATGAGACAGGGAAATACCTGGGATGCCAGATAACCCTCCCAGTAGTTTATGGTAGTTGATAACCTGTTGGGAAACCATGTAGTTCAGCACGTACACCCCTCTTGGCTTAAACCAATCAGTTCAAATCACCCCTACCTAACTTGTTCCTGCCAGTGAATGTGCTAATCATGTTTTAGAGTTGTTTTTTGATTTTCCCGTGGCGTGAGGTGATTTGTTATGCTGTATGTGAAGTCCCTGCCCTTTTCAAAGAATGTATATAAGCTCTGCTCAAGCTGTTCTCAGGCTCTTTGTTCTTTGCTACTCTGAAGTGAGCTCTGAGCCCCAGCATGCTGGACCCCCAATAAACCCTTTGCTGTTGCATGAGACAGTCTCTTGGTGGCCTTTTCCTCCAACGCTCGCCCGACCTTTTCAATAGAACCCTGGAGTAGCAACAGAGGTTTAGAATGGTAAATTTTGTATGTTCTAGAATACAGATTGTGGAGTGACACTAAAGTAAAAACAGTTTAAGTTTCTGCCAAACGAGAACAACTACAAAAAAAATACCTTTTCTCTAAGCCACACAACCAAATGAGGGTTATCCTAATATCAAAGCAGATAAAAGTAGTTATCATCTCTAAAGAGGTGAGATCAGATACTAACACAACTGAGATTTGACTGTGTCACACCAAAAGCAAAGAATTGTATTAGATGCTGCATATGGCATCCTTTCCAAGTATTTTCCTCATCCTGATCTCAAAACACAGGAAGCCATTCTTATAACTGTATAGGTAGATCTATAGAAGTGCTAACGGAGAATCAAGACCTGTTCAAAAATACCCAAAGAATACTGACATTTGTTGTACTCTAACCAAATGCTTTTATCACCCTGTCATGAAACCCCATTCAGCAAACTTAAATCAAAGATTCTCTATCAGTTTTCTTGTGATTAC